TCCCACTCATTTGAGTGGTTACATATATATTACTTGATATTCCACAAATTGACATTTACCTTTCCATACTTGCCACAAAGTTCCTTTTATAAATACATATATCATTGAAGGATCTCTTCTCCTAAATAGATGCATTATTTTGAGTTGTTTCCTTTCCATAAATTCCCATTAATAACATTACTAGCTAATCTGTTGTGAACTCTCTTTTTTAATCTGTGACAATTTCATGCTCTTGATGATGTTAGAATACAGTGATGTTTCTTAAAACTGGTCACTTGACACGGGGGGGAGGGGCCTTTGTGGACTCCTGCTCCTTTTTCAGTCTATTTCTCTCACTTAGTGGTATTTTTTATACTTCTATTGTATCCTTTATATTTACATTCAAGGACAGCTATATCCTTGAACTGTGTCCTTAGCTATGGACCTCTTGCTACTTAGATTCTCTCAACCCACCTGTTCCAATCTACTTTTGAGCACTCCTACCTTGGGGTGTTTTGTTAACACTGTTGCAATCAGTCTAGACTCAGTAGCCCAATGGTGACACTCAGGATTTCAATTCAGGGTACTGGAACTGGAAGGTTATAGTAAAATGTTCTAATAAACTTATACAGATACAAACCTATATAGTTTCTTCATATATATGGACAACTTCATAGTAAACCAGGTCTGTGATTTTTGAGGAGAGTGTAAATTCTGGCAGATAGAATAGGCAAGGAGACAGAAGTATGAGAGAGGGGAGGGCTTTATTGTGCTCCTGGGCAAGATTCAGAACATAGGATTAATACTAATGCTTGACTTTGGCAAGATGCACTGTTATGAAAATCCATATTTAAGACATCTATGTGATAGTTTTAATTTGAGATGTGCAGTTTCCACATCAGCTCTGCCCACCACAGTCTATCTACCCCAGCCTTGGCAAAGGATGGTATGGATTTATTTATGTAACCCTAAAACCCTCCCAGTCCAAGAGATGAGCTAGACTGTAGGGTCTCCCCAGTAGCTTTGTTGAGTTATTGGTTCACTGTATGTGTGACTAGAAGGCCATCTGTTGGACAGCCCACCCCAGGCATCTATACTAGGTGACCTCATAAGCATCTTGATAAATTCATGTACTTGAAGAATAAGAGGGAGTATATAGCATTAGAATATCATGGTTAGGTCAGTGGGGAATGCATTACTTGGTATTGAGATTTATCATTTAAACTTTTCAAAAATTTAAAAACATTTAATAGGTTTAAAAAAATAAAATCTAGGCCCACCCTGGAGGTGACCCACATGGTGTGGCAGACCCCTCCTGACCTGACTGCTGCTTCCCTCAGCAGTCCACTTCCTCAGTTGGCCTGTCTGTTCCCTTTCTGTCTCTGGTGAATCCTCTCTCTGCTCTGCACCTATGAGCTGTACCCCAGTTCTGTATGCATAAATAAATAAATCTTAAAAAAAATCAAAATATTATTACTGATGTTTGTTTAGAAACTTACCATAGTAGTGGAACACCTGCAAATTGGTGACCCATTAATTTTGCTATAAAACTGGGATCGAACTCATACGGAAGTGCCTTTAGCTTCTTAGTGCTGTGCTTTAACCCACTGCGCCACCAGGGAGGGCCCCAAAATTATAAACTCTTTAAAGACAACACCACTAAAAGTAACAATACTTATAAAACAAAAATCAAAAGGAAAAAACTAGGGCTAAGTTACCTGAACAATTTTACTTTTGTTTTGTTTTAAGATACTGGGCAGGAAGTCCATATCAGACAGAGAAGGGATGGCATAATGATATCCAGGCTTAGTATAGTTTGCAGTTTTATTTTTTGCAATATCCGCTGTAGTAAGAAAAATGTTTAAAGTTTTTATTTAATCACTAGTTCCTTTTCAATTTCCTCTTGCCTAACTCTAGAGATCTAAAGTTTTCTGAATATTTAAACCTCTGCTAATAAATATTATGACTATGTGGGCCCAGAGTTTATAAAATTTGTTTAAGAGTAGCCTCTGTGAATGAAAGATGTAGGGAATTTTATAGGTTGACCAGATAACAAATACGTTTAAGTGATCAAATGCATTGTTCAGAGAAAGCTATTGCTAAGTTGAGGAGTCTGTTGGTAGAACAGCAGATTTGGGGGTATTTTGTGAAGAACTTGGAAATGATATAGCAGGAGAGCTAGAAACTTAATAAAAGCTTCAGGTTTAGATGTCCTGGGTTCCAGAAAAGGTGGAGTTCAAATGATTTCATTTGTTTTTAAGTTCTAATTTATACACAACACATTTAAAAAAATTTGCTAAGTTTTTTGTACCTATATGGCAGGTCCTCAAATAACCTTGCTTCATCCAATGTCACTTCACTATAATAGTGGAAAACAAAAAACAACAAAAAACAAAATCCTGATCAAAGTTGAATGAAATTATGTTATTTAAGGACCTGGTTTTAATTAATTAATTTATTAATTCACTTAAAGTCACAGTTTCTAAGCACCCATAGATGACTTCAAGTGAGAACTTAACTCTATACTCATGCAAACATCACCTCAATAAAAAAA